AATTTTTAATAGTCAGAATTGCTCTTCAAATAATAATTGTTGATCATTTATGATTATTTATAAAGAAACATGATGATTTGATATTTGTTTTGATTTTCAAAGCTTTAAAATATCAACTTTCAAATTGAAAAAACTAAAAAAAAAATGATTTTTTTTAAAAAAAATTGAAAATTTTGAATCTTTTTTTTTTTTTTTTTGTGCAAAACTGAAAATTGTGTGTCTATAAAAGAGCATGATAATGGAACATTGATGTGCAAAACTGGAAAGAAAAAAAAAACTTTAAATATAAAAAAAATTGATAATGTTCTCAGTTTTAAAACTAAAAAAAATTGTTATTGTTCTCAATTTTATTGGATAATTGAATCAAACTAATAAGTAGAATGATAAAAACGTTTAATCTCATGCTCTATTTTTTTTTTCATCAGTTAGTGAAACAATTATGTGAAACATTACTCTACAAAATTGATAATGTTCTTAGTTTTAACAATTGGGAAAATTTGATAATAAATATGACTCATTGGTTCAAAAAATCTTAAATAGGACCTAAGCTACCATGACATTTGTAAATAAGACTTTTAGGTAATTAACTCTAAAAAGATTTATTTTTATGAAATTTATTATATATATTTATGTAAATTACATTGTTATGACATGATAGAGCTAAAATTATTAAAATACACATAAATAATTTATTTTTAATTAGTATGTTGGTTGGTTTAAGAAGTAACTCTTTTATGAAACAATACAACTAAAATTATTAAAATAAATAATTAGAATCATTTTTTAAATTTTAAATTAATATTTCTTTTTTTTTTTCCAATTTCACAATTATTTTAAATGTTTTGTATATTAAAAAATATAAATAATTTCATAAAAAATATTTTAAAACAAATATATTTAGCCCGTACATCACACGGGTTAACCATATAAAAGTAGTGCTTTTCCTTTTCTTAGAGCATCTCTAACGGTGCATCAATTTTTTCATCAAATTTGAGTAAAAATTTGAGTAAAAGCTTCATTTGATATCAAGTGCTCCAACGGAGAATTTTGGAGCTTTATTAGAACACCGGACATTCGCCCGATCGATTGGCCAATGTAAAAAAAAAAAAAAAAAAATTTGTTTTTTTGTTTTTTTTTTGCCTTGAGGTAGTCGACTGGCCAATGCAATTTTTTTACAAAGTTTTTCCTTAAGATGGTCATTCGGGGGGACTCCAGCAACGGTAATGAACAGTGATTTAATAAAATGAACATTGATCCTCAGTTTGATGACAGAAAAAGTGAAATTCTCAATTTGATACTCATTTGATGCAATTGTTGGAGCAACAAAAGGACTCAATTTTTATCAAATTTAAATTTGATGAAAGGTTTAAGTAATCATTGAAGAAGGTCTTAGATGGCATATTCTAAGCACTTATTTTATTTTTATTTTTTTCTTAAAAAACCACATTAGCGCATTTCCCGTTTACATATTGAGTTCTACACAAATTCAAACTTAATTTAAATTATACTTAGACTCTATTTGAGAAATACTTCTTTTCCATATATTTTGAGTTTTACATGAAATCTAACTACAAATTCTATATGAATTATACTTTGATTATATAAAATCTCTTACATTATTTTATATAATTACAACTCACAGGGGAAAAAAAAAACTTGCACAAAAATCATACTTTTGAAGAATTTCTGAAGTTTGAATTTACTACTTAAGTTACTTTTTAAATTGTTGAACAATAAGTTATTATATGCTTTGATATCATATTACAAATGATTAATCACCTCATACTCTAAGATGTATCTTTCGTTTGGATTTATTTATTTATTATTTTTAGGTTTAAATGTTGTTATGAGATTCTTTCTTGGTTAGTCGGTATTGAATTTATTTTATATAGTTGATATTTTAATTCAATTAAGAGTGTTTATTTTTTCAATCTTATTATTTAATATATATCATATAAAACGTTATATGATAATCCAATTACAATATATTTAGGGCGAATTACACTAAAGGTCTCTATAGTTTAGGGCTTCTGTCATTTTGGTTCCTGACTTTTCAATTGTGACACACTTGATCATGAATTTTGAATCTTATTCCAAATAAAGACAATTGAATATATTGTTAATCAATTTCAAGGATAAAGTTGTCAATTTGATAAAATATAAACTAATTTGACAAAAATAAATGCCAAAAAATATTTTTAAATTTTTAAAAATTGTTTCTACCCACCAATGATAAAATTATGTAAAATTGATAAATCTTTTACATATTTATTTTTTTTAACAAATCAATTTTATTATATGTTTGGATGATAATCACGTAATGGGTGGTTGTTTTTATTTTCATTAAATTAGTTTCTATTTTTTCAAAAGTCAAATATGGCTACAACTTTGATATCATTATTAAACCAATCCATTAAATCAAAAAATTCAAAACTAAAAACATTTCATATATTAAATATATCGATTACACATTAAAAGCCTAGCAACTACCTATTACATGATCATAATCTAAACACATAATGAAAACTAATTTGGTAAAAAATAAAAATAAATGTGTAAAAGATTTATCAATTTTACATAATTTTATCTTTGGTGGAAAAAAATAATTTTTAAAAAATCAAAAATATTTTTTTTGACATTTATTTTTGTAACAACCCAAAAATTTAAGTTGTCCCTTAAATTTTATACTAGTATTATGGTTGTATGTGATAATATATTATTAAATAAATAATAATAAATACAGAATCTAATTTGGCATTGGATTATCAAATATAGGATTAATTAAGGATTATTATTTGGGGCCAAATTAATAGAAATATAAAATTATAATACTGGTTGGGTCAAATTAAAGTTAAAAATAGTAAATAAATAAATATAAAAGTAAGAATACAAAATAATAATAATAATAATAATAATAATAATAATAACAATAACAATAACGGGTGTGGTAATAAAATAAATAATTAATTTTCTGTTGATATACGATAGAGTGTAATTTAATTAGAAATTAATTAATTTATATAATTATATTAGAAAATTTGGTTAAAGTGTAAGATAAGTATAAATGTATATAATTTATGAATCAAATTTGGAGAAGATACGCCACGTAGCTAATGTTCTTACCTCCCTATATAGGGAGGAGGTGATCAACTAGAAAAAAAAGAAGGAAAAAAGAGAGGAAGGAGGAGGGAAAGAAACGAAGAAAATGAAGGTAAAAATAATGGAAGTTGAGAGGGTTTTTGGCAGTGGAAAAAAAGAGTAAGGTATTAAAGTTAAGGTGAGTTATATTATATTTTGAGTTACCATAATATATTTTACATATGTTTTAACTTGCCATAATTTATTTTATGCAAGTTATATTAATTCAAGTTATGTTTTAAAAATATTTCAGTTACGTGGATTAATTTCTAAACTCTATTTGTTTAAATGAAACTCATGGATACGTTTGTTTAACTTTTAAAGAATATTTGACTATAACCTTATAAAAAATTATGTTTTACAAGTTTCATCACGAGAGTCCTACGCCTTGGGAGGCTTAAATAACCATTGGGCTCTATTTGGTCACTTTGTGGCTCTCTATTTTCATAGTTCCATTGACCTCTGTTCTGTGCGGAGTAAAGTGTTGTGCGGAGATAAGTGCTACACTATTGTGGAAGCCACCTCTATAATCTGTACGAGCCACATCTTGAATCCGTATCTCTGTTTTGACTATCATTCATGTGACCTCTGTTCTGTTCTATTCGGTACTGTGGTTATGGTTATTTATTTGCATAATCTCAATTTTGCTACTTAAATGATTATTTGTTCAGACTAAATTATCTTAAATATTTTAGTTATATAACTATCCATGGTTATTTTGTGTCTCTTATACTCTTGGCATAACATTTCTCACTCTGCCATGTGCTTATATTTACCAATTTTTAAGAAACAATGCAATTCAGAAATAATTTTTGGAAAGTCTTAGACGCGGGGCTGTGGAATAGACACACACAACACTTTTATGATATTTTATATGTAAATATCGACCTTTTTGATCAATTAATTTTATTATAACAATAGAAACTCCAATGATTATTTTAGTACCCTCACTTAAATATTATTTCTGCTCACGTTTATTGATTTGTTTAAGAATTGGCCGGAGGTAACCTCAGTTACTGGCCATCACGATACTTAACCCTTGGGTACAGGGAGCGGGTCGTGACAATTTTTGTCAAATTAGTTTATATTTTATCAAATTGACGACTTTACCTTTGAAATTGAGCAATTGTATCTTCAGTTGTCCTTATTTGGAATAATATTCAAAATTCAGCGTTAAATGTGTCACAATTGAAAAGTCAGGGACCAAAGTGACACAAGTCCCAAATTATAGGGACGGTTAGTGTAATTCGCCCATATATTTATATTTAATTTTTTTCAATAAATTTTATATAGTTTCTATTTCTACATATTTTTATTTTTCAAATAAAAATAAAAGAAAATTAAATAGTTAGAATTATTTTTAATCTTATGGTGCTAATCCTTCTTCTAATTTAACTTTTATTTTTAATATCAAAATGATAATTACATTTTTATAATACGATAAAATTAAAATTATCAAAATACACAAATAATTTAACTAAAATTAATATATATTAGTATTCAAGTAATATTTTTATACAACGATAACGTTAATATTATCAAAATAAATAATTAAAATCATATTTTAATTTTAATTTTAATTGAAAATTAAAATTAATTATTTTTATAATATATATTATACCGTCAAATATTTTTTTTAAAAAATAGCACGTCTACGGCACAGGTCAACTATGAGTTCTAATAAAAATGATTAATTGTAAAAGAAAAATATTTTAAAGAGTTTTTAAAGAGATTAACTATTGAGTTTGAAGTTGAGAGGGGTAAAATGGCAAATAAATAATTTACTGTAATTTACCCTTAAAAGAAATTCCATTAATAATATTTTAAAAAATACCATTATCTAATTTTGTTACACAAAATTTATTTAAAATTTTACAATTGATCAATTTCTTCTTTAAAGAATCCTTTTTTAAATGTTAGTCCATGGTGCGGATTTGGTATACGGAGAGGAGAGAGAGAGAGACTTGGGACTTTTTGTGGGGAGAGATAAATTTGGAAGGTCTGAGAGAAATTGAGGCATGTTCTTACTGATCTCTTCTCTCTCTTCTCGAATTGTTAGCTTCATCTATGTAATTGTGTAAAAATTTCTGTGTGCTGAAGAATAATCTGGTTTGGTTCTTTACTTTATTAATTTTCTCGTGATTATATCCGAAAATGGTTCCAAATTTGAGTCTTTTGAGCTCTGGTGATTCTATGTGTATGCTTTATTTTGTGATTGTGAAATTCAGGGAATTTTTTGGTTAACTTTCTGGGTATATTTCAGTATAAATGTACGTTGTGTGTTCTGATTGTCAAATTCATGGATTTTGGGTTGTATATGGGTTAGCTTGTTCTTTGTTATTTAGGGTTTTTGATTCTATATCTGGGTCTCTTCCAGTTGACTCTGAAGGTGGCTAGCGAGTAAAAATGAATTTCTGACCACTTCACTTATTATATATATATATATATATGTGTGTGTGTGTGTGTGTTAAATTTATTTATGTCGTCTTCAGATAAGTAGGTTCCTCCTTCCCACTTGAATTATGCTTCACTGCTTGTATCAAATTTCAAATGGGGTATTACCAATTTTGTTTTTTTTTTCAAATCAGAACCCCCAATCTTGCTTCCTTTTCTTTTTATTTATTTCACCTCTCTTTACTTTTTTGTTTTTGGGTATGCGTGAATAACTATTGGCTCAGGGAAATTTTACTCTCTTAGCTTTGTGGGAAATGACTACTTGTAATTGTAACCTAATGTTCCTTAAATTGTCTTCCTTTATTTATTTTTTCAATTTTTTTTGGACAAATAAGAATTATGTGTTGGATTAACAGCATTGCAGTTTCCAAACAAGGTTTAAGAGATGTGGATACTTTGTCTAATATTTTAGGCTACTTTTTAGTCCATGTGAGGTTTACTTTTACAGGAATCTTCTTTTCTTGCTTTGTGCTTTTTCCCTCATCAATCTGTGTCTCTCCTTTTTTCTTTTATTTTTTCTTTATTTTTTATATTTTTTATATGGTTATTAAGTTTTGTAGATTTTTTTTTTGAACTAAATCATTTATTGTTATGCAGGTATATATGCTCACAAATGTTGTTGAATATATAATTTATGCAAACATATTGGATAAAGCTATCTATAAACATTCTGGTAGGTGTCAACAGAGTAAATGTCATTCCGCAGCGTAGTCCGTGATGTAAGGGATGGCTTTGGGAGCTTATCAAGACGGAGTTTTGAGGTGAGGCTGCCTGGGCATATCAGGGGGAAATCTCATGGTGCCGTCCATGGGTTGCATGACCAGCCTTTTGTCATCCAGAATAGCTGTTGGGCTAGCCTCCCACCAGAACTTCTTCGCGATGTGATTAAGAGGCTGGAGGCAAGTGAGAATACATGGCCTGCTCGCAAGCACGTTGTTGCATGTGCTGCTGTGTGCAGGTCATGGAGAGAAATGTGCAAAGAAATTGTCCAAAGCCTTGAATTTTCAGGGAAGATTACCTTTCCAGTCTCCCTGAAGCAGGTGGGTTTTCTGTTTTATTGTCTTGCTTTTCATAATTGTATTAATAAATTTTTCTTAAAAATGAATAAAGTTTCTCTCATAGCTGCATGGTCATTTACATTTCCGATTCATTTCTTTTTACAGCCAGGACATCGAGATGGAACCATTCAGTGCTTCATTAAGAGAGACAAAGCTAATCTAATTTACCACCTTTTCCTTTGCCTTAGCCCTGGTAAGATCAGGTTTTTAACCATTTACGTGCTACTAGCTTGTGACCTTTCATTTGTCTCTTGTGACCTGTCCTGTGGAGATAAATAGTCATCTTAAATTGCATGTAATATGCTTCCCTGGGATTTTTCTTTATTTAGGGGTTGTTTGGGAGTTGGCTTTTTTGACTTCTTGCAAAAAGACGTGCTAAAAAGTGGAGAAGATGGGTTGACTTTTTGTAGTGGCTTTTTGACTAAAAACATGAGTTCCCAAACAAGGTCTTAATGATGAATATTGAATTGGGGCAAAAGCATAACCATTTGGTTCGTAATTTCATAATGCTTGCTTTAGTTAGGATTGGTGAACTGAGTTTACTACTGCTGTGTCAATGTGGTATATGCATTTCACAGATCTTTTTGGTCTTGAGCATTAATTCTGAAACATACCCTCCCCCTTTAGGCTAAAACTAGTTGACTTATCTGATATGTGGGACAAAACTTGTTTTCCAGTCCAGTGGGACGAGAATCTTGGCATTGTTGTTCTGAATCTGCCTTCAGCTTCTGGAAATTCTGGAATCTATGTTTACACCTAGAACTTTTGAATGCATTCTTACTGTCTTTATATTTATCTGCCAGTTTTTAGATTACTAATTTACTGAAGGAGATCATGTTTATTAAACTAGTTGCCTTATCTGATATGTGAGAAAACTTGTTTTCCAGTCCAGTGGGACGAGAAGCTTGGCATTGTTGTTCTGAATCTGTCTTTGGTTTCTGGGAATCCTGGAATCTCTGTTTGCACCTAGAAGGCTAGAACTTTTGATGCACTCTTACTGTCTTTATATTTATCTTTCAGTTTTTAGATTATTAAGTTACTGAAGGAGATCATGTTTGTTTCATAAATAAAACTTGTCTTGACATAAAAGAGAAAAAGTGGGAAAAAGAGATTAAAAGGTCATCGGTCAAACCCAGTGCACAAGGCTCCTGATTGTAACCAGGGTCTGTGAAAGATAGTAGGAAGGCAACCAGACCCCCACTTCTCTGTGAAGAGGTTGATTCCCGTGACTTGATCCCACACCACAAAACTGGGGACGGACAAAACTCATCATCATAATACTAGGTTGAAGGCTTAATCAGGGTGTTAAATGACACCAGGATGAAACAATGTTCATATCTTTGGCGTCTGGCCTCATTTAAATTAGTTTGCTGCTGTCAGAGTATTGGTGAAACCCTTTCTTTTCCTACTCCACCTCTCCATGGTTTGATGAAATCACATTGCATCTGAATTTATATGAAACCTAGATTCATATTTGGAAACTCTGCACAGTTTGTGCGAAGCAACATTAAGTTTGTTCCTCCTAAACTGCCAGTTGGGCTTGAGTGAGTGTTTTGTTGGTCTAGTGGATGGTTTCCCAAGCATTAGCTTGTGTACCTAGTTGATCAATTTTCTCTATTTGGGTATGAAGTGTCCTTAACTGTTGCCACTACCAATTTTATTTATTCAATTTTGCATATTATCTACAGATGGATTGAAAGTAACTTGAGTATGCCAAACAAAAAACAAGTTTTGAATTACCTTAATGTACTACATTGTAGTTAGGTGATGATTTAGTAACGTTGAGCTGTCATTAGCACAAGTCCATTTAAGGTTAATCTAGTTGTTCAGTTGTGATTCAATATTTTGCTTTTGCTTTTGCAGCGTTGCTTGTTGAAAATGGAAAATTTCTTCTTTCTGCAAAACGGAATCGGCGAACTACTTGCACGGAGTATGTGATCTCCATGGATGCAGATAGCATATCAAGATCAAGCAGCACTTACATAGGAAAGCTGAGGTAAGAGTACGATTTTTGAACTTACACTGTTCATTCTTGAGGTGCTAAAGTCTTAATTTTGGAGCATCCCTTTATGGATGACAACTTAAGAAGTTGAATATGTTTTTCAGCTCCAATACATTTTAGGCAATGGAATGAAAGAACATGCTGAAATTGATTCCTGCCGGAAAATATTGTGAACTCATTTGATGTGGCCTCAGTTATACATGTCTGCCTCTTCCATCCCCCTTGCTTTTCTTGATGCCCTATCTTGGATTGAAATTCAACATTTGATTCCTAACTCCCTTTTCTAGCAACCTACTTAATTCTGTTATGCTTAAATAATATTGGCCCTATTTGGTGGAGATTTTTTAAGTTAAAAATGATAATCAGAAAACAAAAGCTAAAAGCACCCCTATCCCAAGTTTTTTTCAACTTATTTAAGATATTTCTGCCTAATAAGCTATAAGCAGAAGTTGCACCAAATAGTCTGACACAAACACTCAAGTCAAAATAAGCCATAATCACCCCTCAAAAGCTGTAACAAACAGTCTCATTATCTAGTTAATAATGTTTTCATATTTTTTTAATATGTAATATAATATATGGGAACGCAATTGAACACACAAAAACACAGTTGTACTTACTAGTGGATTGTGTTCCTAAAATTTAAGCCAATACTTGTTTTAGTCAGTACTCAAATTCTGTTACTACTGCTGAGCTCATAGTTCTTAAGAAATATGTAGATGGGAGATAATTAAACTGTGTTGGCATCCATATAGCGCAGGTGTGGGGGTTAATCCTATGTGAAGATATTCATACAAAGTTACTCAAAAGCTAAACTTGATCATCCTCATTTTATTTTCCTAAAGAGTTAGCTTCAGATTTTTTAGCTTAAGAAAAGTAGTTCTTTTAAGTTGAAGAGATGGTACTTTCACGAGGCATTGGAAGTATGAATCTTGATATTATTATATATGCCATATAGCAATTTTCTATTTTATGTTTAAGGTTTTGAAGATGAGATTTGGTATATTCCTTTATTGCTGAGTGCTAGATTTTCAAATGTGTAAATTAAATAGCTGCTTTATTGTGTTCTTCAATATAAATATGTGTAGACAATTTATTAGTATTTGTATCCTTTTAGTTGTTACAATTCTATTTTTGGTTTAGAGCAATATATAAGAGATATGCCAGTGGATGACAAGACAACCTAGTTCGACTGAGACTTATTCCCAAAGTTCTACATATAAATCTTAAATTAGATATTTTTTATTTAAAGTTGCACATTTTTGGTTCATATATGGCTTTTAGATTGATATCTTTCCCTTGCAACAGGTCAAATTTCCTTGGCACAAAGTTCATTATTTATGACACGCAACCACCATACAACAGTCCTCATATTTCCCCGCCTGGTCGTACAAGCCGACGGTTCTACTCAAAAAAAGTTTCTCCTAAAGTACCTACACGTAGCTACAACATTGCCCAAGTCAAGTATGAATTAAATGTGCTAGGCACAAGGGGCCCACGCAGGATGCATTGTGTCATACATTCAATCCCTACTTCAGCCCTTGACCCAGGTGGCACCGTCCCAGGTCAACCTGAGCTCCTTCCTCGCTCCCTTGAAGACTCATTTAGGAGGATCTCATTCTCAAAATCAATTGACAACTCAACCGAGTTCAGCAGCTCCCGGTTTTCAGACATCATTGGCCCACACGAGGAGGGGGACGAGGGAAAGGCTAGACCATTGGTTCTTCGAAATAAGGCACCAAGATGGCATGAGCAGTTACAGTGTTGGTGCCTCAACTTCCGAGGGAGGGTAACCGTTGCATCTGTCAAGAATTTCCAACTGATCGCTGCAACACAACCCGCCGCCGGTGCACCAACGCCATCTCAGCGTGTCCAATCTGATCATGACAAGATTATCTTGCAGTTTGGTAAGGTTGGCAAAGATATGTTTACCATGGATTATCGCTACCCACTATCTGCATTTCAGGCTTTTGCCATCTGTTTGAGCAGCTTTGACACCAAACTGGCATGTGAATAGAAGAAAGAAATAGGACATTTAGTTGATCATGGTTTTCCTTTTTCTAGTTTTACATAGGGTGGGGAGTTTGTATGCAATCAGTGTATAACTCAGTGTTCAGACTGGGATGTGCTGGAAAAAAAATCTTTGCACGTTGGAAAGGGAGGGTGTTTTTTTTCTTTTTCTTTTTCTTTTTTTCTATGTATGTTGTTTTTTCTCTTTTGTTCCTTGAGTTAGTTTGCTTGAAGGGTTCAGTTGTAATGTCCTGTATTGTATCTTTAAATGTTCTTCATGTGTTTAATTGAATATTGAAACTTCAAAAAAGTGCAATTGTCTGTTTGTTAGTGTCATCTGCGCCTTTGATTTGAGCAGTCGCGGTTTTCTGATGGTACTTTATCATTGTTGCTTCACTACAAACTGTAATTTGAATGGTGATGGTGCATTTTGATACTAGTTGTTGCATTGCTACAGATGTAACTGGAGTAGTGATCATACATACTGAATTGCTACCTACGAGCTTAAGTGGAATGAATTAATTTGTAGTCTCTATCAGAATATTTGGTTTTGTTAGCACTCTTAGCCATCCTTGTTACTCAATAGCATGAATAGAGATCTACATGGTTTAGTCCTCAAGGATTAGTCATTGAAAAACAATATTTGAGCCAAAAGTCGGCTTGAAACAGTCGCTCACCAATCAGTGCAAGCCATTTCAGTTTGGTTGAAACCAACTTTGGGCTTGAAAGTCAGCTCTTATGCATTTCATGGCTTAAAGCTTGACAGGATATCTCTTTTAACAACGAAAACGTTTTCTTAGTCAAGTCAGTCTGCTGTGGATTCAGACATATGCTCAAGGATAGTCAAGTACGACATATGCTCAAGGATAGTCAAGTCAGGCTGCCATGGATTCAGAGCCGTATGACATATGCTTAAGCACTCCTTGAGCTGTTCTAAATGTTAGCACACAAGTATCAGAAGAGCAAATTACCGACAATACCCTTGCATTCCGCTTAATATGACAAGCAGGCTACGATATGAAAAGGGAACATAGCAGAACATTGAAAAGGGTAAAACCTCAGCCATCTATGTCCAGCTTTAGATGACGAAGGACTTTGTACAACATCTTGGTGGATAGCTGTTGGTGTTCATCACCAAGAAGTCAACATATTCAAAAAAACTCTACATAGAAGTCTCCCCTAACAGATCTAAAATCTGTACTAACAAAGTAGCAATGATATACAGAGAATAATTGAGCACTCACCTAGATGTTTGCTAGCAAGCCACTGGCTCAGCCATACAGCAACACCGGTGAACGTGTCTTGATCATCTCCACAAGGTGCAAAGGTTGCAGCTTTAAAAAATGCTACCAGTTGTTGAGCCATGGAGCACCACGGCAATGACAGACTTAGAGAAGTGAGCACTGCAAGGCATGTTAACCGAGCCAGGGGTTTCATCGATCATGTTTCCGCTTTAAGATCAAACTTAAACAAAATCCAAGCCTGGAGTAGATTTTGGAACAACTCATCTCTTTTGGGAAGAAGAAATTTATCATTCATCAATAAATAATTGAGAGGTTGATATGGTTGACCAGATGGGAAAATTGGATTTCTCCATGGAAGTTTGTTTGATGTTCAACATATTGAAAGAAAAAATTAATTATATGTCAGCCTTTCCATATTGTTTAGTTGTGTCCATTTCACTTGACAGGTGAGAGGGATATATAGGAGGAAAAATTATTATATATGTATGTGATTAATTAAGTTTTCTTTTAGCTGTTCACATCATTGCTATCTCATCTTTGGTGGACTACACACTTGTAAATCAATTACTTTATTGTAAATTTTCACTTTTACTTTTCAAGTCTCCATACTGTTATGACCTCTGTTTTTAGTTTTTTTTCTTTTACCATCCAGATTGAACATATTAATAGAAACTAAAAAAAATATATATTTTATGCACAACTTGGTAGTAGTGTGTATATCTATTCATTATAATACAGCATATATATATATCATAGTGTTGTTAAGGGGATCTATAAGAATCTACCTGGGCTCCAATACCCAGAAGAAAGCCTCCAAGAGAATCAACAGTGATGATTGCTTAGAGATTGAGGCATATGTTAAACCACCTAATCATATGCGATTAGGTTATGATTCAAGAGGTGGAGCACTAAGATTGAGAGGTTAATGATGGAAAGTGAATTAATAATTTGGAGAAGAATGGGTTGCAGTTGGACTCACGTAGTGGCCACTAAAACAACTTTGGCCAAGATAAAAGATATTACACTGACAGTCTGTTTGGATTTATTGATTTGGAAAGAAAATAAAAGAAATGAATTTCTCTTGGTGCTAATCCTTGTTTGGATACTAAAGATGAGAGAAATAAAGGGAAATAAAATGAAATGGAGAGAAATTGATTTATTTTGAATCACTCCAAAATTGAAAAGATTGGGAAAGAAAATAAATGAGATTATTACTAATATTATGAAATGTTAAAACTGTCCGTCTAAGTAATACAGAAATAGGGAGCTTTTTTGATATATCCCAATTTTATTCCATCCAACACATTCTTTTTTGCTATTCCATTAGGTCTTATTTGAGGAAAGAAGACCAAAGCATCCTCAATCTCTCCTGCCCCCATTAATGTTGATATTTAATGTTGATTTTTATTATATTTTGATAGTTCTCATGACCATTCCTATTCTCCATATCTTCACTCAAAAAAAATGCATTAACTACACACCACAATTTAATATTGATATATATTACATACAAAAAATTAAACAGGGTTCTTTGTTAATTGTCATTATATTTTGGTAGTTCTCATGCATCCACATGTTAACTGTACGTGATGTCGTGAATGTTTACATTAGATGACATAAATGTGAATGTTCACATCAGATGAAGTAAATGTGAATGTTCACATCAGATGATATTGTGATAAAGGTGATGTTAAGGTTCACATCAGCATTGTATCAAATTACGCAATCACAAGTCTCAATTTTCATTTGAATATAAACATGACTGTATGTAATAATATGAATGTTCATATTAAATGACGTGATTGTGAATATTCACATTAGATAATGTGAATGTTTACATCATATGACATTGTGATAAAGATGATGTTAAGGTTCACATCAGCATTGCATCAAATTACACAACCACAATCCTCAACTGTCATTTGAATATACACATGACATGTGATAAAGGTGTTGTAAACAATCCTCAACTGTCATTTGAATATACACATAACATGTGATAAATGTGTTGTAAACGTTCACATCAGATGAGAGAGAATTCTTAGGGCGTTAAGGCCATTAAAGAACTTTCCGAAAATGTATCCATTTTATAAGATTATCAAAAATTTTAATAAGTTTGATGACTGTGCTTTTTTGGTTTAGGGTTTAGGGACATTAAGCATCAACATTAAAATTTTTATAAAAAGTAAGCTTTTTTGGTTTAGGGTTTAGAGACATTAAATATCAACATTAAATATAAAGACATAAGAGTCTAAGAAAATAGTGTAAATCAAGAAAAATGACTTTATAGAATAAAAGTATACATACATAGGGCTAAGTGGATTAAAAAATTCCTTCATGGACTTCTTGGATTAGAACACTTCTAAATGAAATTTATCAATAAAAATTCAGAAATAAAAGCATACAAGGTTATTTTGGTAATATATCCTACAAGAGTTTCTTTTCTTTTCTTGTATGTAGTCTATCCAAACAAAATTGGAGAGAAATTACAATCTTTTTCTTTTCTTTTCTCTAAACTTAAGTAAACAAGAGGGAGAGAAATCATAGTGTTTTCTCTTTTAACTTAACAAATCATTTATTTTCTTTTCTTTCCTAATAATCCAAACATAGTATAAGGATTTCGAGATTAGCATTTTTATGTATAGAGAATACTTATATGGGTGTGGGATCTGCATTGACTTTTTTTTAATTTTTATTTTTGTAGAAATGGATTTATGAGATGGATCCAAATGGCATAGGACTTCTTATTGTTGTGTGTGTAATTAGTGTAAGAGATTATATATATGTGCATAGTGTCCATAACCAAATTTCCATGTTTGATCACTTTTATTTAATTTAAAAACTTTATAGATTGTTTAGTTGTCATTTTCCATGTTTGATTTAAGCATACCACACACTTAAGTTGCCATGAATGCTGAAATGCTCTTGATAAAGGCTCAGATGACAGAGAGGCAAATAACAAATATCCCTAGTTCAAGATCATTCTATGAGCAACTTCAATGGCAAAGCCAAATTATTTGTTGGCTAGAGACATCTTAGAACAATTCTAATAGTAAAAGTTAAAATGGCTTCGCTAATGATATTTTGTGACTCATTATAGTGCAAAATAAATAATTTTTTTTGGCTATATACAACTCCAATGATTCACATGTTAACTCTCATACTCATTTTTAGTCATTAGATTTGTTCTTCAAAAGTTTATCAAGATTTATTTTATTTACGTATCAAAAATAACTTTTGTCAAATTTGAAGTCAAATTTGACATAAGATTTTGTTGTCATTTTTTTGGCCATTCTGCTTTGCCATTGAAAAATAATTTTTATGACGTGTAATGAATTCGGCGAGGCTCATAGCTTTGCTATTGAGGACCATCTGACAATTTTTTCCATTGTAGTGGGTCATGTTTGTTCTATGATATAAGTGATTTTATGGACAGACTGAATACCAAATATATTTTACTCCAAATTAATAAGTCCATTTTTTTTTATTTTACACTTACAATCCAATCTGCTAACCCACAATTATCAATTCATACCGATTCTCACAGTAAAATCATTGCTTCTCCAACAATTCTCAATAGCAAAAAGTACAATTTTTAAGACTAATATATCCATGAAAACCTCACTCCATACTCTTATTGGGTAATAACTATCAAAAATTATTTGAAGTTAACCAGTACCCCAAATTTCTTAATATTCTCTCCGTACTATTTCCAACTAAAAAATTAATTAGTAGGCCAAATTTCTTAATATTCTCTCTTAAATTATTTAAGGTTATAATTTACTCTCAATACATTTTATGTTTTTTCACAAATTATCATTCAAAATAAAATCATAATTTGTGGTACAATCAAATAATAAACAAATCAATTCAAAAAAGACTCTCTCTCCCTCTCTTCTTCTTTTCTTAGCCACAATACTCTTTCACTGACAAATGTTGAAGAAAGAAAAAACGAATAACCATAAGTAGATACAAAGAACAGAAAGAATGCAAATTCACCAAGCTATTACTCACTTTCGTACTACCTAGATTCAATAGAGATGATTGTGGTAGCTAACATGGATATGTTCATTGCCATCATGTTCGTCAACA